TATTATATAATAAACAGTGGAATAGTATTGAGAAAAATGTAAACGATGTTTGATTTTTACAAAGTATTTCTTGTCTGATGTTTAGATTAGCCGTTAAAATGATGTCATTTACAACACATAAACATAACTGTACTGTAATTAGTCATTGCCTATGATTTTGCAAAATATATATTTATAACATCACATCCAATAAGACTCACATTACACTAATTATTCAAATATTTAGTCATTTATGAGATTTGTTTCACTTTTTATTGCAAAAAACTATTTAATAAATTGCTGCAAAAATATACGATAAATATATTGTAAATAGAGATTTAAACAACAATTATATGATATTGTATATTACGTTAAGACTTATTTCAAACGTTTGTGGTATATATGGTATTGTAAGCCTTGAAAGCTATTAAATCACAATTATTTTGGGTATTTCTCATACAATACACATCCGATCATATCATTTAAGGCTTCTTTCATTGCAATTCATACAAAATGTATTTTTACTGAAAAAAACACATAACTATTAATGAGTATACAAAAGGAGTATTAAATGAAATTATCATTTCCTCAATACTTATTATTTTGAGTCTAATATAAAGTTGAATAATAAAAACCCAATTCATATAACTGTAAAATACATAAAATATTTGATGAGGATCTGAAATGAGTAGGCATTACACCGTTAATTTGGTAAATTGAAGTGTACTCACCTTGTTAAAATAACAATGCAAATAGATTATGATTAAAATACATCGGCGTTTATTTGCCATTCACTCCAATACGAGGCAAACAATAAGTGGCAAAACATAAACCGATTGTTGAAAATACACTTTGGATGACTTAAATCTGACGCCAAACACACATATCAAGCATTCCGTTCTCAAACAGTCTTTGGTTTTAATAATAAAATATTTTTATTTATTTGTTAAAAGATATATCAATATTAAAAACATGTTTTAAAATTGTTTTTTCTTCATATGCCGTAAAAATACATAAATCTTATTCATAATACAATAACATGAAGGCCAGGGAGTAATGTATTGTTGGGTACGTTAAGAAATAAGGAAACACTTTTAAGACTTTAATTAATACTAATTAATTTTTCTGTTTTTAAATAACCGTATAATGTAACATTATTAATGTTAAACATGTTGAGTCTGTATGTTTCCAATAGATATTGAATTATGGTTAAAAATAAAATCAGAATTCAATACAATTTGAAATTGATTTGTGAAATAAAAACCAATAAATCGATCAAAAATTTTGAAGGTTAAGCTTTTTGTTTAATTAATAGTCTGGTAATTATAAATTTTTGACATAATTTGCATACATTATAAATCCAATGTATAGATTGGCCAAAGCTTAGGTACAAAGTGGTCATGAATTTAAAACATATCAATAATGGTTTAATTTTGAGTTTTATAATTATATTAAATAAGTTAGAGAAAGTGTTTGGCGCTTATGATACTTATTATATGGACTCTTTCTGTTCAGCCAGTGTTCCCGCAAATGGCAAAACACCGGCCAATTCGGGAACCGTTGCTGTCATACAATTGGGCAAAGAGTCGTGCACTTCAGTCGCCACTTTGCGGGCATTCAAAACAGAATATCCTAATAATGGTATGCTTTTATTAAATCATTTGATAATTGTGTTGTAAATGAACGATATATTAGCCAAATGTGAAGTTACGGTCAAATCGCCGCCTGGTTTTGGTTTAGTCGCTACCTTGAAGTACGCGTCTCTGAGGCCAACACTTCCCTGTGCTATAGACAAGGATGAGGTGATTGTGTCGCTCAACAAAACACTTCAGTATAACATCAGCTCCAGTACTGGCGAGGGTTTTGTAACCGATATCAGTGACACCGATATCGGCGTCAAGTTTGTGACCACTAATATGAGGGACGCTATCGATGGCAAGGGATTTGAGATACATTTCACCGCTTATAGACTAAAGGAAAGTTCGGGTAATGTATTGTTTATGTAATGTTTTTTTGTGATGATAAATAAGTATTTAATTTAATGTTTGATATATTTTATGCATTTATTTTTATGATTGATAGGCGTCTGCAGTGACGGGTATTTTGACTGCGATAACAGCCGTTGTGTACACAATGGCCTCAAATGCGACCGAATAGACAATTGCGGTAATAATCGGGACGAAGACGGATGTGATTATCCGGTGAGCAGTATATGGCTTCTGCTGGCAATCAGTGGTTGGATTTTTAGCGGATTTAATGTCATTGGGATCTGTCTTTGGGTTACTTATCAAAAGTATTTTGAGTTTTTGCGCTAAAAATAGATGACATAAAAAATGAAACATAAAATACATTAAAGCGACTAAAAATATATTATAATGTTAAAATCATTTGATTCTCGATATGACTCCATCTACTGGTCACTCATATAAACTCGGGGGGAATAACGGGGAAGTCACTGGGATAGCCTATACATACGTCACATGTTCGCACAGATGGCTGCCTACACATAAACTAGTGCTGTCCAAGTAGTTGTACAAACAGCGCACTCTGTATGCCATACTCTATACATTGTCACACATGTTGTTGTCTATTCGCCAACAGTAGTTTATGTGTGTGCAGTCAGCTGTGCTCATATGTGACGTTTATACCAGGATACGGATATGCTACTGAGTCAAATCTTTGTGAATTCACATTACTCGTATAGCACAGTAGTGTAGTATAGTTGATATGGTATAGCAATATATACAGCAATATTTATTTTCCCCACTGTTTTACAGGTATGGCATTAATGAATGCCAGTGTGTTTTGGACAGTACGTCGAACTTCATTCATATCACATATTGTCATAAAATATATTTTTTGTAATTTAATTTATGACCAAAAAATATATAAAAAACAAACATTTTTGACTTTTTATTTAATAACTTTTATTGCAACTAAAAATATCTATTTAAATGCAAAACAATTGAATTTCTATTGTATTCTCATTGGAAATAGTTTTTTTTAAAATTACCAACACTTTGTATTTCATCTAGATTGTTTAATGATTTATTTATAAATATCATTTAGTTCTTTATTTTAATAGTGAAAACTAAAATCTATTAATTTTTAGCATTTATCCAATTGATTGATTTCTAATGGATTTTTGTTTAGTAATTACTACCTTATGGGCAAATACAGTAAAGCCTCTCTGTAAGCAGCTTTTCTCTGTAAGGAAACTTTTATGAAGCCATTTGTTTTTAGAATGTCTACTTGAGATCTAAATTACTTTATGTTAAAATAAAAGGAAAATATTCCACTTTCCTATTTATGATATCTATTTATAGCCATTTATGGACACTTTATTATCTATAAGAAACACATTTGAAATCACTGCGAGAATAATTATAATACTTTAAAATTAACGAATATTTTAATTAAAGTTCATAAAATGATTGAGAATTGGAATGTGTTTTGCAAACATTGGATAAATGAGTGTAAAACTGGATGAAGTTTGTTTATTACCGGGAAAGTCGACTGCACTATTTTGAATATCCAATCGATTGGTATTTATAAATAAATTGATTGAATCGGCAATAATTTGTAAGCACTAAATATACGACTGAATCTAATATTATATTCTCGTCGATACTATAAAAAGCATTTTAATCCTTCAATCAAATAAATGTTTTGAAAATAGTTAAGTGTTTTAAACTTTGACATATTTTTGCATTAATTTTCATTTCAATTTGATGTACGAAAACACATGTTGAATGCGTTTCTCTCATTTCCATCAAATATAACTTAATTATAGATTTCCTGAAATTTTCAAATGAAGTACTTTTTGAAGCATCTCTTTATGCTATTTATTGTTTGTTTGCCATTAGTTTTATATTCATTTTTAGTACTCATTGCTCCAAAAAGCAATTCCCGAAACGCCTCTAAACTCTCGTTTGCTTTTAATGAATGATTTGTATATTTTGGTCAACATTTTTAGCATTTTATTACACAATCAAACCATTATTGAAATTAACTAAAATTATTAATATTTGTTTTACGCTTATATTTGTAGTGATTTTAAGCACAAATCAATATATAACGTGAAGTTTCAAAACAAAGCTTTTATAATTTAGCAAATAAATGACACAAACAATGAGCTCGTAATTCACAACAAGTTTTATTTGTCAAAAATTTGTTGTAATTTTTAACTCATTAAATCAAACACAAGTTTATTAACCTTTTTTTTATTGAAAATAATAATTTAATATATTTGTTGGAAATCTTGTAAAAAATGATTTGTTTGTTTGTAGGCCTGAAGATGAAGGTGTAGTCGTGAACACAGACCAGACTGAGGGACAGCAAACGCATTTGACGCCCAAATATAGCTTAAAGTTTGACGTTTTGAGCAATTGTTTAAACGGGCGGTTAGTCTTACCCTCGATTACTGACTCAAACGAACTCGACTTACATATAGGCGAAGATCGCATTGTTTTAATGTCTTCTAAATACAAATTAGATATTTTTGTGTCACTTTTAATCAAATGTAATGAAGTTATGGCCACTTTTGATACTTTTACTCATGTTTTACACATTCAAATGCCTCTAATCTAAAAATTGTCTATTTTGTCATTTATTTCCTAAATTTAAATGAATTGCAAACAATTTGATTAAATCGATTACTTTAAACATAAATGTATTGTATTTTTGTAGAACCATTTGAAATAAAGACATATTTTATACATTACTTTAGAATTTAAATGTTTAATGCTTTTAGTATTTATTGAATTATACAATAAATAGTGTTTATTCATGTAATAATATATTTTAACATTGTTTATAATCAAATAATTAATTTTTTAACTGTTCATTCGTTATTAAACATAAAATTTGGGTTACTTTAAGATATAATATAACGTTAAAGTGTTTATTTAAAAAGATTTATATCGTAAATTTAAAAGTGTTAGCACTTATTATACGACAATTAATTTCATAAATATATTATAATATTTGACTAATCATCAAAAATAGATATGTTTGAAAGTATAATATCAAAATATAAAACAATTTTATTACCATAAAACATTTGTGTTTTGGATAATTAGAGAATTTCTTAATAATTTTTAGTTTAAAAATTATTTTATAAAAACCACATTCGCCTGAATATTAAGGCACGAATAGTTGACTTTCTTGAGTGCATCGGTTATTCGGAATTCAATTTTGTAATCGCCCTAAAAATAAGACAATTTTTACATAAAAGTTGTTAATAAATAATGTTCGATGTGTTTGTAATGCTCTTATATTTACATTAGGAAATATACAAACTATTTCAATGATTTAATATCTATAAATATATGTCAAATAAAATATTTTGTCAAATTAGCTAAAAATTATAACAAAAAAATTAATGTTTGATAATTAATAAAACCTTATAATAATAATAATTTATAACTATTTTAATAGAGTTTGCGAATTAATGTTTGGGACACGAGATCATCAAATTTCACGCTTATTGTCCAGAATATCCTAAATATAATCCTAATTACTGACCACTTATTTGCAGTAATTTATAAAAACATTAATATAATGAATGACATAATAAGAATAAAAGCAATTGCATATAAATATATGTAATATATTATATAAATAGATATAAATGTGATATTAAGTTATGCTAACCGATGCTATATATGCGATGATTCCCTGTATTTTATCGAAAGGCACGG